TTTGCTAAGGCCTTTTTTATTGTCATTATAGTATTACGGGAACCCGTAGCAGCCACATCCGTGCTCAAGCCTCCAACGAGGGAACATGCGGGAGCTGCACCCACCAGCAGGTGCGATACCTGCTACAGCAGGTGGGCTATACCGGCCAGGGGTCAGCCGGTAGCATCAGGACCGAGCTTCTTCGATGGACCAGTCACTGTGCCTCCCCTTCGGTCCCCTTCCCCTATGAACATCAGCAGTCTCTGCTCAATGCCACTCAGGGGGACCAACGGCATATCTCTAGGTGGCGGGTGCCAAGCTTGCCCAGGAAGGTACATGAGGCCAATGGGGATTGAACCCAAGACCTCCTGAAGGCCACTTGGGTGCCTTACCAACTGAGCTAGGCCGCTGGATCTTCTTTTCAGTTCCCAAGAATGGGAGGCCGGAAAAGAAAATAGAAAGACTCATTTTGATTGGCAGCTCTTCAAAAGATTAAAAAAAATAAAGTACTCGAAGGGCATGGTTTTGAGCGCCTTCTTTTTCCCGGTCAATTGTAGCCCCATCCAGTACTCGATTTTTCTCTCAAAGCATACGAGCTGCATGCTTCAGCATGGCAACCGTCAGAGAAGGGAGTCCCAGCAGGCACACGAAGGGACTCCCTCCCGGTGGTACGCGAGACTGCAACAGTCACGTACCACTCTGTCCTGATTAGGCATTGGCTGGGTGGGGAGCAGGGGGAGGAGACGGGAGGGTTAGTGGAACGGCAGCACTTTCAAAAGTCGGCCTCCTTCCCATCTTGGGCAATGTAACGTCGCCATTTTTTTTTTTTTTAAGTCTTTAAAATTACTTTTCTTCCTTTTCTTAAAGTGCTGCACAGGTCCAAATAGGCCATGACTCGTGTGCTAGTGGAACCGTGGCCCTGCGTGAGCAAATGCATTCGGAAAAAAAAAAAAAAAAAACACTCTATATTTTTTAGGGTGTAACCAGTGTGACTACGTGCAGTTCTGTGAGGCACAAATGTCAGGGCCACGACTCTGTCCTTTGTGGACACAGAACTCGTGCGTGACCGCACGGGCAACCAAAGGTACAAATACAGGTACCAAACGCCCCGATATTTGTGACTTTAGGTCTCCGTGTGAGAATGCCCTCAGTACTCCGAGTTGAATTGTGAGGGTCCCCGCCGCAATCTGTTTTCTTAGCAATACATATAATAAGCTGTTTCCTAAAAAAAAAAGTACATCTAGTAGCCTACTCCTGAACGCATGGGGGCTCCAGTCCAGTTGATGTAGCTCAGTGGTTAGAGCACCGGTTGGAATTGCACTGTCCAGCGCATCGGCTCCCGCCTTTTTTTGCGAAGCGCGGGAGCCCTCCCGGCGATGTCACGCAAGAGTAAAACAAAACAAAAACAGAGAACTTGGGAACGACGGAAAATAACTCCGCGAACCGCCAAGGCGGACGTGGTCTCATCGTCCCTTCGCTGCTCTAGCCGGGTGCGCCAGCTGTACTTCCCGCAGTCCCCTACGACAGGATAGGTTCCCGCGGGGCATAAGCTTTCCCTAAGGGGTTGTCACCACCCTTAGGGGCGTATCCCTACCGAGCTATTGATCCACATGCGAAAGCTTTAACATGCAATTGCAGAGGTAGGTCAGCCGAGGGCGTTTGCTCGCTCGCTGTAGTAGAGATACGCTTGGTTGAAACCGTCCTAGTCGACCGACGTCCGCTTCATGCTTAGGAGATCAGCGCCCTAAGGAACGAACGATGCGCTCGAAAGCGCATTGTGGTATGAGGTTCCGGGTTCAAATCCGCAGCCTCACGCATGGACACCGACAGGGCATTAGAATCATGCACGGCTGGACACACACCCCTTGGGCTGACGCATGGTAAGCTAATACAGACATTGCTTGCGCACCACCCAAGGGTTGTCAATGGTGTTGCGCAATTCCTAACCCTTGGGTGGTGCGCAACCATGCTTGGAATTTGCTTGTGCACCACCCAAGGGTTGTCCATGGTGTGTGTCGACCCAAATTCCAAGCAAGCTAATACAGACATTGCTTGCGGAACCCGACCTGCTTGGAATTTGGGTCGACACACACCATGGACAACCCTTGGGTGGTGCACAAGCAATGTCTATATTAGCTTACCATGCGTCAGCCCAAGGGGTGTGTCGACCCAAAGGTCTGTATTAGCAATGTCTGTATTAGCTTGCCCAAGCAAGGGGTGTGTATTAGCAATGTTTGTATTAGCTTGCCCAAGGGGTGTGTTGACCCAAATTCCAAGCAGGACGGGTTCCGCAAGCAATGTTTGTATAAGCTAATACAGATATTGCTTGCGCACCACCCAAGGGTTGTCCATGGTGTGTGTCGACCCAAATTCCAAGCAGGTAGGGGTTAGGAATTGCGCAAACAAGACACGTCGGGTTTCGCAATTCCTAACCGTCGACCCAAATTCCAAGCAGGTCGGGTTCCGCAATTCCTAACCCGGAACCCGACGTGTCCTTTTTGCGCATGAATGTTCTCGGCCACGTCGTTGCAAACTCTGGGGATTTTGGTGGGAATATGGATAGATGTAGGACTTTCTTTCATTTTCAGCGCCTACTTTGCGCGCGGATATGGTGATTTCAATTTTTGAATTAGCCTAGGACTTAGAAAAATTGTAACTGTTTCGGTGCCTTTTTTTTTCACATGTTGTGTTCGGCGCCATGCATGCGAGCTCCCTCCCTCTTCCTCGCGCTCCTCTCGACGCCCTTTTTCACGCGCCCATGCTCTCCCTCTCTCCCTGCCTAACTGTTTTTTTTTTTTTTTTTCTCTCGCTTCGCGCACTTTTTCTCTTTCTTGATCATCAGAATCTTTGACACGTTTCGCGCTATCCTTCACACCCTCCTTCTTCCCGCTCTAAGTCCTGCGCTCGAGAACCCGGTCGATCCTCTCGTTACCCCATCTAGCCAAGGAGAAGCGCCGTGTAAGAAAAAATTCCTACTACGCGACGATTCTGATTGGCTAGGAACGGACTGAGAGGGATCAACATGGCTTTCGATGGTCAATTACCCTCAAGTCTTCCCTCGCCCTCCTCTGCCTTACTCTTCATCTTTCCCCGCATCTATCTCCCTTCTCGCAACTATAAATTCCGCAAGCGCGTTCGCAAATCTCTCTCTCAACTCGCCAGCCAGCTTCCGGGAAGCAGTGGCTAGATGGTGTGTGTGTAGTGCGAGTCGAAAAGTCCCGACTGGCTGGTTGTGCGCCTGATCGCCACGAGGGACTGTGGGATTGGGGCAAGCCCGTGCAGAAACCAAGTCGGCGGCGTGACGATCGCAGTGGTGGAAGGTGGCACGCGACGGCCGGGATCGTCGGTGCATGTATGAGGATAGTGATCAGAGTTGGGTGGATGAATGGCCCGGGGCCATGGTGGAACTTTACGACAGATGCGCCTCCTTGTTTCGAGTCTATTCTTTGGTATGAGTACAGTCAGACAGTAGTTAAGCCGAAAACTCTCTTCATCTTCGGAATTTGTGTGTAATCTTCCTTTATCTTGTCCCTCTCCTCCGTCTTGCATCTCTTCTCCCCACCCACTTTATGACCTGGTATGAATGACTATGTATGTTTGTCGATCCCCTGGGAATTGAAATGATTGTCTGAATGGCTTGCATTGATTAGCCCTAGGATGACGGGGCAGGGGTGCAAAACACACGGAGAACCGAATGATGCATGGCTATCATTTTTGCACCTTCCACAGTAAAAGACCGTGAGTATGGATGAAAATAGTTGGATGTTGATACCATTATTTGATGAATTGGTCTCTGATTAGGCCGAAGGATTGCTA